CTCCCATACCAATAGTTAGTCAAGAAAATGCCCCCACAGACTTGCCTACAATCAATGGAGGCATTTTCTCAATTGAGGTTCCCTCCTCCAAGATGACCCTTGTGTCAAATTGACAAAAAACTAACCACCACAGGGTGCTATAGGAAATTTAAGATAAATGGAACCCCATAAATCTATTACCTCATTTTCCAAAGAAAATTTGAAACAGAAACTGGTGGAGGAAAATGGGTTTATTTACAGTTTGGCCAAACGGGGCGAGAACAACTCCTGTTTTTTTTCTCTGTCCATTCTGTAGCAGTGCTATAGTTCTGAACTTGATGAAGCAGAGGTCAGGAAATGTGAAGAACGGTGACTCAATGAGTCCTGTGAAGCTTCCTGTGCTGGAGCCTCCTCCACTGGCACCAGGCAATTCCATCACCCATGCCCTGGGCCAATTTTAATTCTGTTTTTTTTCCTATGGGGACTTGCGGTTCAGAAAGGGTCTTGGTGTGTAGCCCTGCTTGGCCTGGACTCACTATAGGTGAGGCTTGCTTTGGACTTGCAACAATCCTCCTGCCTCTCCAGTGTTGGGATTACAGGCCTATACCACCACACTAGGTTTGAAAAGCTTTAGGGCCTATGATTTTAGGTCTGTTTCAACAGTCCTTAGCCTACTACACTTTCACAACCAACCACTTTTGCATTTTCCCATTCATCAGTTTTGCAGATGCTCATTCCTCCACTTCTTGATGTTATCAGCCCTCAATCAAGTTGGTGCCCAGCACAAGGGGACCCCACCATCTTGACATGGATAGGCTCATCACAGTTGGATATTACTGAGAAAGTTGGGCATGGTAGCTTTTTCCTCGTCTTAGGCCATTTCAGATAAGGGGGTATCCAGCAGCAATGACCTCCTTAGTCATGATGCTACCAGTGAAACCTTGGTGATTTAGTGGCATCAGGGACAGAATGAAACCCATAATTTAGAAACTGATTTATGCCAGGCAGTGGTGATGGTGCTCGCCTTTAATCCCAGCACTCAGGAGGCAGAGGCAGGTGGATTGTTGTGAATTCGAGGCCAGCCTGGTCTATAGAGCTAGTTCCAGGACAGCCAGGGCTACACAGAGAAACCCTGACTCGTAAAACTAAAAAGAGAAAAGAAGCTGATTTATGTGACAGGATAGGCATTGCTAAGTGGCCTTAATGAATTTTAGAACCTGAAAAGGGGATTGATGGCAACAAAAAATGTTTGAGCACACTGAGCAGTGTCTTTCTAGATAGTCTGTCTGACCATGGAGATAGGTGACATCCATTTGGAAAAATGGCATCTGCATTCAATTTTTTACCTGTGAAATAATGGATAGGAAATCATGAGTTAAGAAAATAATAAAGGCTGGGCATGGTGGATCCAACCTTTAACTCTAGAACTTGTGGGGGCAGAGGCAGACGACCTCTGTGAGCTTGAGGTCAGCCTGCTCTACATAGTGAGTTCCAGGCCAGCTAGGACTATATAGTGAGTGCCTGTCTTAAAATTAATTAATTAAAACAATTTTTTATTGTTTGTAGAGACAGGGCTTCTCTGTGTAGACTTAGGTGTCCTGGAACTTGCTCTTGTAGACCAGGCTGGCCTTGAATTCACAGAGATCCACCTGCCTTTGCCTTCCGAGTGCTGGGATTAAAGGGGTGCACCACCACCACCTGGATAATTAAAATAAATTTAAAAATAAAAGAGACAACAGGTAGTTTACTTACTGAAGACATGCTTTCTTCCACCTTGGCTGGGTCTCCTATAGCCAGGCTAGCCTCAAACTTGCTATGTTAGCTGAGACTGGCTTTGAATTCCTGATTCTTCCGTCTCCATCTCCCAAAGGCTTTAACTACAGGTGTGCACAAAACACCCAGAAAATACTCCTCTTGCTGTATATTTCCTCTCTGCTGTGTGGGGACTTTTATGGTACAGCTTGCTGTGCTAACTTGCTATTAAAAGTGACAGTACACCGGACAGGTGGCAGTAATGGAGCAAAACGCCTTGGTTTATTTTTGGGGTTTATGTCTTGGACTTCAATAGTAGCCAACAGCACCCCCTATCCCACTGAAAACATTGTATCATATCATAAAAGGGCAAAGACCTTTGAGAAATGATCAAGGTAGCACTTTTGTATGTGTCTAGTTTTATTCATTTACTTGCCTCTGTGTGCACATATTCAAGTATGTCTAGGGATACATATGTGTGCACATGTGTGAAGGCCAGAGGCCAACCTAAGTTGTAGTTCCCCAAGGAGCCATCTACCTTGGTTTCCTTTTTAAGTTCTTTGAGAATTTCATACAGCACATTTTGATCATATTCATTCCTTTCCCCCTCCCCGCCCCTGACTCCTTTCAGATCCAGTCTCCTTTCCTATCCACTTATCAAATCCCATTTCTGTTGTCCCAATACTATTGGGTGTTGGACCATCCACTGGAGCATGGCCCACCTACCAGGGACCACGCCCTAAAAAAGACTGTTTTTCCCTGCCCTGGCAGCCATCAATTGCCAATAGCTCTTCAGCTAGAATTTCTGCCCACCTCCTCTCTCCATGCTGTGATTTTGTCTGGCTTGAGCCTGCAGTGTTGGGCACACAGTCACAACAGTTAGGAGTTACTATGTGCAGTTTCCCTGCTGCGCCTGGAAAACAGTTTCCTTGTAGTCACTCACTGCCGGTGGCTCTTACAATCTTTCTATCCCTCTCCCACCGTGATCCCTGAGCCTTGGGGAGAGAGGGAGTGACACAGATGTCCCGTTCCGTCTCTCATTCTCTGCCCCTTGGCCGGGTGTGTTGTCTCTGAGTTAATCACCACCTGCCGAATTAAGGAGCTGTCTGGTGAGGGTTGAGAAGTGCACTAATCTGTGAGTACAGCGAGTGACTGGGCACTAGCTTCCTACTAATTCATTGAGCACAATAATAGCAGTGGGTTCACCCCAGGGCCTATGACCCACCTATGCACAGGTTCTTGGCCCCAGGTATGGCACCATTGTTGAATGGGCCTTAAATCCAATCAGAAAGTGGTTAGTCACTCCCATGATATTTGTGTCACAATTGCATCAGTGGGTATGTCCTGCCATTATCGTACCTGGAAGGTTCATGGCTTAGTGAGAGTGATGACTGTTTTGTCTTCTAATACTGTGCATAGCAAGCACCTTCCAGCACTTTAAAAACCAGCCAGTAGGGACAAAGCCTCCGGCCAGTAGCAGCTTGATTTCTCCATGTTCTAATCACTCAAATATGTGGTGCCTTCAGCAATAGGGCCTTACAATCAAGTTCTGGAGGGCAACCAAGAGCATTGACTATTGTCTGTAATTCTGCTGGTCTGTGAGATTTCACTGGCCAACAACTCCAAAAGAAATAACCCACTCTGGCACTAGGCTTTTTATTTATTGGCTTGTGTTGTCTAGTAGGAGCACTGTTGGCTCATTATAGGATAACTCCATTTAAAGTCCTTGTATATGTACATGTATGTATTTTAGGAAACTTCTAGTAGGTTTTTATATGACTTTTCCAAAAGGGCTTTAGTGTTAGATATCCCTCCTCATATTCTCTTCTCTCCTCTGTCCTCTCATACCCAACCCCATTTTTTTTTTTTAAGGCAGAGTACCTCACTAGGATCTGAGGCTTGCTAATTAGGATAGGCTGGCTGGCCAGGGAGCCCCAGGGATCTGCTGTCTGCAGCTCCCCAGCTCTGGGATTATAAATGACACCTGCCCAGCTTTCTACCTGGATGCTGGAGATCAAACTCAGGTTCTGACACTTGTACAACAAGTGCTTTACCAACAGAGCAGTCCCTGGCTCGTTTTACAACAACCAGACAGCCAGGTGAGGCGGCAAACACCTTTAATCCCAGCGCTGGGGAGGCAGAAGCAGGTAGATTTCTATGAGTTCAAGGTCAACCTGGTCTATAGCCAGGACAGCCAGGGCTCTGTTTTGGAAAACAAAGCACAAACAAGCACAAAACAAAACAAAACTCCACAAAAACCAAACAAACCCCAAACCGAAAACCAACCAACAACAAAAACCAAAAACAAAACCAAAGAACCTTTTTCTAACTTTGAGGCTGAATCCAGGCCTTCACACACAAATGAGCGTTGCACATTTTTGTTATGTGAATAACGTGCTGGCAGTCTTAACCCTGTGGAAGGTGGTCAGAACTGAGACTGTTGAGTCTCCTGGTGATATATGGAGTGTGTGTGTGTGAGTGTGTGTGTGTGTGTGTGTGTGTGTGTGTGTGTGTGTGTGTGTTATAATTTTTTTGTTTGTTTTTTTGTTTGTCTGTAATTTGAGACTGGGTCTTAGTCTACATCAGACTGGCCTTAAACTTGTGGCAATCCTGTCTCCTCCTGAGTGCTGAGAATACAGGCATGACTACGGTGCCTGTTTGTGGTTGTTGTTGTTGTTGTTTTATTTCTTCTTTGTGTATTTCTAAAACCTAACTATTTCTGACTGAAACAGGTTGCACATGGTGGCTCATGATATCATCCGAGGCTGAGGCAAGAGAATTGGCACAAGTTCACAGCCAGCCTGGGATATCTAGTGAGTTCCAGGCCATTCTGCTATCCAGTGTGAGAATGTCTCAAAAACTAAAACAAAAATAATCAACAGTCATAAAAAGAAAGGGAGGAGAGGGAGACTTGGAGAGATGCTAGATGCCAGGAGTGGGGATCCGATAAGTCAAACCATGCCAGTACGCAGGTGGGAAAGCCAAAAGCAGTGTAGGTAGGTATTAGCAGTCAAGCCTGGGATGGAACACCACTGACGAAGCTGCTTTCTCTGCATTTGATGTCCTCTAAGTTGTCACATTTATTGGACCTAAACAAACAGCTGGCATGATAGTACACTGTTGCTCATAATTTTCGTTTCGAACGTCATCTTCTACCTATTACTTAAAACCAGCTTGTTTCATAACATGTTTCATGACATGTGCCATTAAATATTTGCTCCATTTTTAAAAATTCGATTTTACAGTGGAGAATGAACGTGTGTAAATCATTACCGCCCAAAAGACAGCACAGGTGCCTAAGAGAGGAGACAAGGCTCCTTGCAGATCCACAGCAGGCCTGTGGGAACACGCATTTGGCAGGGAAGAGGGGTTGAAGCCGGCGACATTTTCCACTAATCTCTGACAGATGATGTTGCTGTCTTATGGCTGGCCTCTTAGTGTAACCATCACCTATCTGACGATAGTTTAGGGGAGGATGACCTACAAGACCCATCTCCACTGAGGCGCAAGCCTCATCCAGTGCCCCCTTGTGGCTGCTACTCAACCACACAGACAGTAAAGAATTTACCTTTTTCTTTTTTTTACTGGTCCTATTAGATTTCTTGCTAATTTTCCAAATAGATATGAAGGTGTCTGAAGAGATCCTGGGACTGACGGTAATTTTTAAGGGTGGTAGTTTACCTGAGCAAAGAGAGCATAAGCATAAATGAACAAAATGACTCACACTATCTAGGGGGTGCCCTCAGGCCTAAGAGCCCGGCAGGAGTTATATCATTAGAGTTGGCTCATGAAGAACTCCCTGATAAAGTGGAGCATGGTGGTACTCAGGGACTCGAAATCCTAGGACTCTGGAGGCAGGAGGATCAGCCTTGGCTACATAGCCAGCGCATAGTCACCCTGGTCTACAGAGACCCTGTTTCGAAAAAAATCAAAACCAGGGGAAGAGAAGAAGATAGGGGAGAAATAAAGGCAAAGTGAACTGAACTCCTTTTTTAACAGGTAAGAAAGTTAGTGTGACATGGGGAAGGGCCTAGGCCTGGCCCAGGATGATGTGGTAGACTTTGGGGAGCCCCTTTTGAAAGCCCTACCCTGCCTGGGGAGTGGAGAGGGGATGGGTAGGGGCAGGTGGGATGTTGGGGGGGAGGGGAAGGAGAGGGTGAAGGGATTGACATTTGAAGCAAGCTTGTTCCTAATTTGAACTAATAAAATAAAATAATAATAATAATAAAAACTATATTTTTAATTCAAACCAGAAAAAAAAAAAAGAAAAGAATGTTAGTGTGATTTTATGAAAGGAGAATTAGAAATTCTCTTATTGGTCTGCAAATGATGTGAACACAGAAGACACTAAAAGGACATCAGTTTTATAATCAGTGATGTTTCTAATGGTTTTCAAGGTCTAAAATGATGCCTTCAGGGCTAAATGACAAGTGATTTGACCTGTGAAATCCAAGCAGCTAACCCTTTTTTGAGGACTCTTCACTGGTGTTCAAACTAACAACCTAATTAAAGTGCTCTGTCAGAAACAGCCCATAATGATTCCAGCTCATGAGATAAATGCATTAAGTCTATTCATGATGCACACTTAGACTAAATCTCGAAATCGCTCATTTCTTGAGCCACAGATTGCTCTTTAATGCTGTTTAAATGAGTGGCACTCCCTAATTAGCCTCTCATTTATGTAAATTGAGCCATTTACTAAGCGAGTAAGACACTTTCCATTCCAGATAGGTACTCTGTGAAAATCATTTCCCATCAAGTCACTGGAGGCTGTCTCTCATTACATTCCCTGCAGTAATGGTGGGGAGATTGCCTGCAGCTCTGTAATGGTTTCTGCCAGGTAGAGTGAGAAGTGGCTGTGGCACCAGGAAAATCAAAGCACGGTCATGACCTGCCTCCTGCTTACTGCACTTAAAGTTAGGTTTAACAGAGTAATCCTGCTGAACTTCATCTCAACTCTAATGGAACAAGAAGTGGGTGTTCTGTTTCTCTAAAAGAAAAGGGTAATTGGAAAAAAAAATCTTAGAATCATTTACTTGGCCATTAAACATGCATGACTTTAGTTTGGAATGGAGCAACACAGCAGACCACATAGCCCTGTAATTCTCTTTAAAACACTGCCAGCAAAGGCAAGATGCAACCTCTGACCATTTTACTACAGAAATGATGAAGACAGGATGCTGCTGCCGGTGAATCTGCCCCACTCAACCTGCCCCACACTCTCCTCAACACCGAATTTCATTTTAACATCTGTTCATGTTTTACACCGAGCTACATTTAAAATGACATTTCTTGCTCTCCCTGTAAAAGCTGTGAAAACACAGTAGAGAGAGGCCGGGGTAGTCACCATTAATTGACCTCACTTCTCTCATTTTCAAAGGGTTAGCTGCCCCTAAGTCACTCAGTGCTGCCTGCCACTTAGAGCCAAACTCCTGTTAAATGATTAAGAAGTACACTGTGGTCATTGCTCTCTCTCTCCCTCTTCTCTCTCTTTTTATCTCCATGGTATCCTCATGTAGCCCAGGCTAGCCTCAGACTGAAAGGTTCCTCCAGTGCTTGGATGGCTCAGCTGTGGTCTTAGGATGGTTGCTGCTTCAGGTTTACAATCAATTTCTGTACAAATCACTTCAGGTTGGGCTGAGAGGAGAATAGAGGAGAACAGGAGAAAACTTTTTTAGAGAATAAGAAAGCAAAGGGAAGTGCTGGAGGGAAGGCTCAGAGGTTGAGAGCACTGGCTGCTCTTCCAGAGGATCTGAGTTCAGTTCGCAGCAACCACATGGTGGATCACGATCATCTATAATGAGATCTGGTGCCCTCTTCTGGCGTGCAGGCAAACATGCAGACAGAACACTGAATAAATCTTTAAAAAATGGGCACAGGGGGTGGGGTGGGAAGGTGGAGGACAAGACAGAAAAAGCAAAAGCAATAGAGAAAAATTCATTTAACCCCCCCTCCCAAACCAGCCAGGCTGGGAGGCATGTTGTAAACACCAGCTACTTTAGGGGCTGAAGGGAAGAAACTATCTAGACACTAGGCTAGAAGTATAGGGAAAATCATTACTCAAAGGCTGTAAAAGTCCTAAGCTCTGTACAAGTCTCTTGGCATGTGGACAAAATGATGGCTAGCCTTTGACAATGCCCCAGCTCATTGCACAGCTAAGATTTGTCCTTTAAACACAAACAAACCAACAAAAACAATGGAGCAGTTGTGACTAGTTCAGAGCCTGGGGAGAAGAGGATTCAACTTTACCTGTCTTCCTGGCTCTCAGTGCTTCCAGGATGTCAACCGCAGTCATTTCTCCCAGGACATTGTTTCCAAGATCAATTTCCTTTAAGTGAGTAGAGTATTTGATCAGGCTTCATAGAGAAAACAGAACAAAATGGCTTTATGCCTTGCATGATTCATGACCCCTCCAAGAAAGTAAACCTAGACTTTCAGAGAATGAACTTTCTTTTCAGGCTCCCTCTGGCCTCCCTGCCCCTTTCCAAGTTGATGCAACAACCTGACTTGAGACTGGAGAGGTGTTGAGTCTGGCTTGTTGAGCCTGGATGAGCCTCTCTACTTTGGAATATTATGTTTCTCTTACAAAAGCCGATTCAAGCTTTTAGTGCCATAGATCTTTCATTCATTCATTTACTTTAAAAAGGTTCCATGTAAGACTTCTTAGTCATTTATATTTTACATACCAGTAAAATGTCAAAACAGTCGGAGAGGTTGACAAGGGTTTGATAACTTTTAGTACGTCAAATAAATAATAACTCCTACCTGGTGTTTTTTTATTTAGCTTAATTTATTTATTTTGGATACGGTCTCTCTACGCAGCCCTGGCTGGCCTGGAACTTGCTATGTAGACCCCGCTGGCCTCAGACTCACAGAGATCCCACCTGTCTCTGCCTCCCAAGTACTGGGATTAAAGGTGTGCCACAGTGTTAGGCTTACCTGGCAACATTATAAACAAACATTTTCACATAAAATTAAGAAAGACAAACTGTTGTGGGATATATATGTACACTGTGTGAAGGTGTATTAATGTGACTGGTGTAATAAAAAGCTGAACGGCCATAGGTAAGCAGGAGGTAATGGTGGGATTTCTAGGGAGTGAGAGGAAGAGGAGACGCAATCTAGGCATATGGGAAATGCCAGGAGACATGGAAACCGGACGGAAAAGAGGTAACGCCATGTGATAGACAGAATGTAGATTAATATACACGGGTTAATTTAAGCTATGAGAGCTAGTTAGGAACAAGCCTAAGCTATAGGCTGAGATTTCATAATTAATAATAACTATCTGTGTTATTTGTGAGCTGGCCGCCAAAAGAAAAATCTGACTACAGCAAGCCTTGGAGCTGGAGAGATGGCTCATCGGATAAGAACATTGACTGGTCTTCTAGGGGGTTTGGATTCAATTCCCAGCACCTCCATAGCAGTTCACACCTGTCTGTAACTCCAGTTCCAGGGTTTCTGACACCCACACACAATCATACATGCTGGCAAAACACCAATGAACTAGCTAAAAAATAAATAGTTTAAAAAAAGGCAAGTCTCAGAATCAGCATTTTAAAATCAGATGAACTTAGCTTTATACTTTTCTCCTAAGGACTCTGGGCCCAGTTCTGCTTAGTTTCTAAGATTAGCAGAGACCAGGAATGTTCAGGGTGGTGTGGCCATAGCATTTTCCTTATTTCTGCGTGAGCTATTGAGCTGTCTTGGCCTGGCAGTGTTCTGCTGGCTGGTGTTTACAAGTCTCTGGCATCCTATGTGGACTGAGGCAAAGACCTGGACTTCTGATGAGCTCTGCCCTCTGTTGACCATGTGATTATGGGCAAGCCATGTGCCCTCACGGGTCTAACTTTCCATTTCTGCAAAACTAGCCTGGAAGGGGGCTTTGTGGCCTGTTTGATGAGGTTGCAGTGAAGACAGAGTGATTATTTCCTGAGTACGCATTATTGCTCATTACATCAGGGACTAAAGGAAAGTTAACTCCCGGTCTCTGCTCAGAAGTATATTATGATGTGATTATCAAGAGGTCAGTCCTGTGCCCTTATCTCGTATGAGGGCTTGAACTTTCACTTAGGGTCAATGCTGACTTTGACTGGACACACTTTCCACTAACTCAGCAGCCAGAACTGAAGCCCAGCCTATGCAACTCTGCCAGACTCTTATCAAAGCTCTTGCTCTCCAGGAAGTCATCTGCCTAGGGTGTGGGCAGTTTCAGTTTCCAGATCTGTCCATGTTCTTCAGACAAGATGGGTAAGAACAGGTACCCGGGGCTGTGAAGGCTTCTCAGAGGTTAGAGCGCTTGCTCTTGCAGAGGACCCAGGTTCAGTTCCCAGCACCCACATGGTGGCTCACAAGTGTCTGTAACTCCTATTCCAGGGAGTCTAACCCCTCCTCTGATCTCCAAGGATACCAGGACGTATGTGGTGCACAGACATACTTGGAGGTAAAACATTTGTACACACAAAATAAAAATAAGCCAATCTAGAAAGAATTAAAAGATAAAAGAAAGGGGTGCTTCTAGGAAAGGAAGACCCGTGGAAGGAAGGAAGGCAGGAATGCTGAAGACTGAGCAGGGTAACTCAGTTCTGTATCTAAACTGACTCCGAAATTTTGAGGGAGCCGAATCTTACTGTTGCATTTGCTGTGCACTGGCTGCCACTGGGGCCACCCCCAGGACTGAAGGCTTCTGCCCTTCAAAAGTGCCTCCCAGGGGTTTTGTGGGGCTTCGATCCAGCTCAGTTTCCTGCCCAGTGCTGAAGCTAGAAGCCTGAACATAGAAGGAACTTTGTTTGCTCCACTGGCTGGAGGTGGTGCCTCCTTTAGCTTCCCTCAGCTCTCCAGAGTGGCTCTTCTCTTAATTTGGACAAAGGATGAGCTAGATCCCTTAATGCTGCTTAGCTCTTTGCCTATATGGTTTGTTTAACCTCTATCTCCTGTGTTAGACACTAGTGCCACGATCATGTCACAAGAGGGAACCGAAGCATCAGAACCCATGGTAAGCAGACAAAGGAGGTAAAAAGGGAGGAAAAGAAAGTGAACCTAAGAGCAGTAGGAATAAAGAAAATTTAGGCCAGGTGGTGGTGGCGCACGCTTTAATCCCAGCACTCGGGAGGCAGAGGCAGGTGGATCTTTGTGAGTTCGAGACCAGCCTGGTCTACAGAGCAGGCTCCTGGACATCCAGAGCTACACAGAGAAAGCCTGTCTCAAACAACAAAACAAACAAAAAGGAAAACCAAGAGCTGATTCTCTGAAACCAGTAACACTGGTAAGTTTCTAACCAAATGTACAAGAAGAAAGATAACATAATGACCAATGTCAATGAAAGAGGAGATGTCTCTGCAGCTTCTAGTTCCTAAAAGGACAATAAAGAAAAATGACTAACTTTATTCTAATAAATTTGACAATGTGTACAAACAAATTCTTTGAAAGAAACAAATTAGAATATGTCAGGCAAAACCCTTCAAAGCCAGAGAGCCTTATGCTTAATGCTTGTTTCTTCATTTCAGTGTATGGGGTTGACTTCAGGGACTTGTATGTTCCAGGCAAACTCTAGCACCAACCTAACATATACTGCTTTGAAAAAAGAATTTTGATTAAAAATCTTTCTTGCTAAGTGTGATGGCACATGCCTGTAACCCCTATGTTCAGAAGGCTGAGGGAGGAAGGTCATGAATTTGAGGCCAGCATGGGCTGCATAGTGAGACTTGTATAAAAACACAAAATAAAAAACCCCTGCTAAGCAAGCTCCAGGTGTCAAGGGCTTCACTGATGAATCTATCAAATTAAAGGACACCATCATCATAATACCACACAAGTTGTGTCATCAAACAGAATGGGAGGGGACACTTCCTAAGTCCTTCTGTAACAACAGAAAGACTCTGGCCAAGCAGGCAAAGACGTTACAAGGAATAAAAGTATGGCTCCCTGTAGCTCATGAATGTAAACACAAAAATCCTGAGCATATTTTTTTCTTTCTTTCTTTCTTTTTTTTCACACCAGCAATATATTAAGTTCAACAAGGTACTGAAATAAAAGGTATTGATGTAATTACCTGGGAAAGGGCAGCATTGATTGCTACTTGGGAAGCCTTCTTGAATAAGGAAGGACAATAAGGAAGGAACCTTTTTCTGCTGAGATCATAAATTGCTACCCATCGTACCTTCAGGCCTTGGACCTCAGCTGTGCCCAGTGCTCTTGGCCACCTGTGTGATGCTGTGGCCCTGGCCTCGAGACAGTGCTGCCCAGAGCCCCCGTTTGTACCCCACAGTTCCTGTGGTGGTTGCAAGCCCTGCCAGTGGCTTCTTGAGCTTACGGTGTGGGTTCAGTAGAGATGGACGGGGGAATGCCTCAAGTTGTCAAAATAAGTGTGACAAGGAAACAGTGTTTGCTAGAAGCTTCTGAGAATTATAGTTGCATCTTTCTGCTTTGGGAGTCCAGAGTGGACAGCTTTTTTTTTTTTTTTTTTTTTTTTTCCTTTTCGAGATAGGGTTTCTCTGTGTAGCTTTGTAGTCCAGGCTGGCCTCGAACTCACAGAGATCTGCCCACCTCTGCCTCTGGAGTGCTGGGATTAAAAGGCATGTACCACAACTCTGGCTCAGGTTTTGAATTATATCTTGATATTAGGGGTGGAGGGATGTTCTAATTCTTGCCTCCTATATTGCCTCAGCTGCCACCCTTTTCATAAGAAGCTCCTGATGAGGTTTCTGAGGGGCCCAAGTGCAGAGACCAGGGCTAGTAAGTGCCCCTCTCCGAGCTGAGAAGCCACACAAAAATTGCTAAAGAGCAATTTTTAACTTTGGCACTTCAGTTTGAGAGTGGATGAATTCAAAGCTCTTACTGTCCCCTACCATGTTAAAGTTCGAGTGAGTTCCGGCAATTGCTCTCCCTCTTTTCCCATCCTGTCTATGCTGTTATCTGCCAAATGCAGCGTCACTACCCAAGGGCCGGCTTCCATCAAGCGTTTAACTTTTTTCCCCATTCCTGCAAGAAAAATCAGAATATTGGTATTATTGTTAGATGATAGCTCTCCTGTTTATTACCAGATAAATGATTTTTAAGTAGAGTTTGCTCATACTGGATTTGTGAATAGATTTATTTTGCAACATAATCAATGAATAGAATATATGTGATTGTGGAAGTCCTGGTTTTGCATTCGGTTCTACTTCATCCTTTAAAACAGAGGCCCCAGATTGCATGATAGACAATCCTATCTCAGAGTCAGATAGTCACTGATAATCTAACTAAAGAGGAATATTTCTTGGTGAATGAATTAATTGAATGGGAGTTTAGGTCATTATGTAGAGGTCTGAGAAGCAGTCTCATTTTTTGAGCTTTGAACTCTAGAAAACATCAGAAGGAGAAAGGACCACCTGTCTCAGTGACTCATGACTGCATCACCGAGGGCAGGAGTCCGGCGTCTCGTTCACCCTCATTGGTCTGCTGAGATTTCTTGAGAGGTCATTGTCAGAGCCACAAAGTGGCACAGCATACACATTTAACTAACTCACCCCAGTTCAGGGTTAGGAGTTTGGGAAAGAAGAAGACATGAAGGGGGCAGAACAAGAGAAATCAGCTGCCCGCATAAGCCAGGCTCATCCACTCAAGCCAGGTCAGGTGGGAAATCTGAATCACGGGCTCCCAAGCCATAAAGCTCCCCGAGACCTCCCCATGTTCACTGCTATTATATGTATATGGCACATGACAGATACTTGAATGTTCATGAATGAGTAAATGCTTGCCTACCAGATCATCAAGTACAATCAAGTCATCGAAACATTTACCATTCATTGTTGTTTTTGAGTATAATGACTTGATTCCACTCATGAACATGAATGGAATATGATTTTTCATTTATAATTTTTTTCACAAATCTAAATGCCTTTGAGAGTTGAGTCTCTGCCCTGACTATGTGGACACTGATCACACCAGCTCTCATTTCTTTCTCCCAGTTTCTATACACCAGAAAGTAGCAATGGATAAAACCTAAACCAACAGGCTGGGGATTAGGGTTGAAGGCCAAATTTCTGTACAGATGCTCAGCTTCGAAAGGAAAGCCAGGCACTCAGCACTCTGATTTATCAGCTTGGTGTAAATGTGTGCTTGTGGAGAGAGAGCCTGCTTGCATCCCCATGGGAAAACTACCTCAACTGCTCCCAAACTGGCATCAAGGAGTAGTGAAAATATCATCATTACCTACAATGAATGAACCAAATTGGAACACGGACCTCTCATGAGCTTCAGAAACTCTCAAAGAAGGCAGGAAGATAGCTGCTGCTCAGGTCAGTGGTCCTGCTCAGGGGTTTTAACCAAAGCAACACCAAGCTCCTCTCTCTGGATGGAAAACAAATTCCTTGGAATACAGATGAGGACACACTCAGCCCCGGTCATACTTGATCTGCCCCAGCTGTATTCACTCTAATCTATTTTTATTCAATCTTATTTTTATTACTTTAAAACTGAGCAAGGTGTGCGGTGAAGAGATGGCTCTGTAGTTAAGAGGATCTGGGTTCCATTTTCATCACAAATATCTACAATTCCAATTTCAGGGGAACCTTTTTTTTTTTTTTTTTTTTTTTTTTTTTTTTTTTTTTTTTTTTCTGGCCTCTGCGGGTACCAGACATGAACACGGAGCACAGACAAAATACCCACCCCCACACACAAACAAATAAACAGGTTTTCTAACAATAACTGTCTGAATGTGCTTCTCTGTCACCAACAACCTGGCTTTGGCCATGCCCTGTGGTGCTTGAGAGGTCGTATAGTACAAGGAAATGCACAGAATACCCGGGTTTCAAGCCTCTCTTGAAAATGTCCCGTGGCTCCTACAAAGTACCTAAACGTCTGTGAACCTTATTGTAAAAGAGAGGCCATGACCCCATCTCCCAGCATCATTGTGAGGGGGTTTCTAAGTGCTTTAGTCTTTTTAATGACTTTGCAAACAGAATTGTTCTTTTCCTTTTTCTTTCTTGCTTTCTGTTTGTTTTGTTTTTAAGCAGCAACACTGTGCCTAAGAGGCTGGTCTCGAATGCAGACATCTACCTGCCTCTGCCTCCTAAGTGCTGGGATTAAAGAAAGGCAAGGGCCATCACCACCTGGCTGGGGAGCATTTTCAATTACCAGATGTCAAGGACCATAGTGCATGGTAAATAGTGATGCCTTGCTTTCCAGTGTCATTCTGGGTTCCCCGAGCTCCCCAAACACTGAATGCAAGTGACCTGGTAGCTTATTAACAAGCTGTCCACCTAGCAAAGGGTCAGACATATATTTCTGACATTGGCACATCTAGCTGGAAGCCACTCTGCAGACTGATCCAAGTCCATCCAGCCGAATGAGTTTCCATCTTCCAGGTGGTCCATTGTCTATGTCTTGAAGAACTGTGTCACTCTGTCACTGTCCCACTTTGAAACATAATCTCAGCATTCAGGAAGCAGAGGCAGGAGGATCAGGAGCTCAAGGTCATCTCAGTGACTAATGAGTTCAAGGCTCTCCTGGGATACTTAAGACACTGTCTCAAAAACCAAACACCAACCAACCAACCAAATAACAAAGCAAGTCAACAACAACAAATAATATAATAAACAGCAAAATAATAAAACGGGGGCTGGAAAGATGGCTCAGAGGTTAAGAGCACCGACTGCTCTTCCAGAGGTCCTGAGTTCAATACCCAGCAACCACATGGTGGCTCACAACCATCTGTTATGAGATCTGGTGCCCTCCTCTGGTGTGCAGATATACATGGAAGCAGAATGTTGTATACATAATAAATAAAATCTTTAAAAAATAATAATAATAAAACAAAATCCAAATAATGGAAACAAAATCCCTAAAGCTACAAACAAACAAACAAACAAACAGGCAAGTACTCAAAACCATCTTGGCTCCATGCTATTGAATGGGAAATGCCCCTAGGCACATGACTTCCAGCTGGAGGTGCTGCTTTGGAAAGTTGTGAAAACTGTGACAAAGCGCTCAGCCTGCAATCATATGTCACTAGAAGCCGGCCCACTCTGGTTCTGGCCTACGGTCTCTGCTCCCTGATGGGCTGCTGTGTGTGAAGCTCTGCCACACACTCCTGCAGCTGTGAACTTTCCACCACGATGGACTGTGAGCTCTCTGAAACTTGAGTTAGACTAAGCCCTTAGGCCGCTAATTGCTTCTGTCGGGCTTTTTGTCATAGCAATGAGACAGCGGGTGTTCTGGTTAGGGTCCACTGGCCTCTTCAGTCACATCTGTAGCAGCTCCCCCCCACTCTCCAGTGTTGACCACAACATTGTCCTCATTCTCTGAGCTTTTTCTCATGGGTGGGAGTGAGGGTGGGGGTGGCACTCTGCTTAGAATGGCCTCTTCCCAGCTCTCATTCCTTCCCCTGAGTGTTCTCTGTAGGCCAGACTTCAAAGGTCAAGTATAAATGTTCTTCCAAGACAGCTTCATCCTCTCCCTCACCTTCTGGTCTCCTTTGGGTTCAGCAGGACATGGGGCACCACACATTCTGTAGGCACCAGAGGCTGCAGTGCTTATCTGTAGATACCAGGCCTGGTGAGAGTTCTTCCTTGTGGTAGAATTCTTTTAAAGTTGTTTAAATATAACATCTTCCCATTGACAATGGACATGTGTGATTTCCCATGCACTACCAGTTTCTGTAGAGGCTTTCATTCTGTGTTCAGCTGTCACCCCAGGATGAAATCATGGATGCAATAATCTCAGGATTCTAAGTGGCAACTTCCTGTTTTTGAATTAATACAGCTTTTGAAGATTACATCTTGACTCTTGAACTGGGCCCTTGCATTCCTTACTGCCACTGGTATTTCTGTGGGCTGTGACTATGATATAAACAATAGTGCCTTATTTGGAGAACTGAACATGACACTTGCTACTGTAGTCAAGTTCTGATCCCACTCGGGATCCTGGAAGGACCATTTTGTGATTGGCCGTTGCCCCTGTTCATATCTAAATTCCCCAGAATTAAAACAGTCCTGGGGATGGCTACACTGTGTAGCTTCACATGGGAAGACGCTCCTTGCTCCCCACTGTGTCTTCCGGGAATTTGTGGGGCCTTGAGGTGATAAGGCAGGACCAGTGGAATGACTCAGGAGAACCATGTTATCCTCAGGTGGCTACTCCTAGTAACCATTTGGTGACTCCTAGTCTTTACCATCTACTGCTGAATAGTTTGTGACTAGGCTTTGGAAAAGCTGGATGTTACCTGCTTGAAGGCTGACCAACCTCTAAACTCTTATATCCTTGTGTAGACAGAGCCTGAATCTCAGAGCTAGATCCATGGAGGGCTGGATGAACTGAGCAGCCCAGCAGGATGGGCCCGGCCTGCTAGCTCTACGGTTCCCAGGGCACAGAAGAGGCATAGAGGAGCCCCAATCTGCTCTCTCAACTGTTTCACTGAGCAAAATAAACCAAGGGAGGCAGTCAATGTTTTCAAGTCTACACAAGTGGTTGTCAGTGTCTTCTGGACCAACAGCCTCAGCCTCACTGGGGACTGAGGGATGGCTCCCAAGCTCTCAGGAGGCCTTTGATGACTGGCAGGTCAAACAGCACTGGTTTAATGATTCTGTGTGTTCTGTGGTACACCAATGACGAATGGCTGGGACAGGCATGTGTACAACTGCAGGCAGCCACACAGAATGCTGTGCTCTGCCATTAAACTACAGATGGTCCACCAATGTCAGTTTTTCTGGTTTTTTGTGATCATCACTGTAAATGTTATTAGGACTCCAAATGAGAGGAGAGTGGGGGAAGAGGCTAGGCTTCTGAGTGGTACTGTGGGGATGGCTTTCCAAACATTAGGCCAAAAATTTCCTGTTCACAAAGGGGTGCGAATGAAAATATTTTGGTTGTTTCCAATTAGGACCAAATGGAAACCATATGGCCTCCTCACCCAGGAGCGTGGCACAATCAGCTCATCTCAGCCCCTTCTTTTGAAACAGGTAGAGTCCTACCAAAGACCAGATTTTTCTCCCCCAACCCCCATGACTGTTAAGCAGTTGTAAAATTTAGCCACTATGTAGCCCTGGCTAGCCTACAACTCTCTATGTGGATCAGGCTGGCGTTGGATTCTTACAGCTCCATCCCCTCTGGCTCATGAGGCATGTGCCATCATGCCCTGCCTTTGAGAAGGTGTTTTGAAGTTTTGTTATCACTGAAAATACAAATATATACAAATACAAATATATACAAATATATTATATATATATATATAATATATATATATTAGATGAAAATTGTTCCACTGAGTTCAGGCTGAGGAGACTAATGGCTTCAATTGTTTCCTGAGTCAAATCCAAGCCTTTGTCTTGGCTTGTAGGTCCCTTAATGTGATCCATTCCCTCAGGATGGCCAGCCTCATGCATTCCCTTGTCTTGGCCAAACTTGTAGGCTCCTGGATGGTATTGGGATGGTCTTTCCTACTTAAGTCCTTCCTCGTCCAAGTTCTTTCTTGGTCCCACCCTAGGTCAGCTTGTCCACAAAGCTTTGTCTCCAATCCCAGCTCTGGAGCAGAATGCCCTTCTGCTGGTCCAGAGAACACACCAAAGACCATTTCTTTGGACTTGGAAACACTGACTGCCTTCTCTATTAGCACTACCCAGTGGGAAAACGGCATCCACGGCAGGCAGCACAGCAGTTGTCCCCCAGTCAACGAGGGGCATGCATGCACCCTACTTTACTTGTTTTTGTTTTTTTTGTTTTTTGTTTTTTCGAGACAGGGTTTCTCTGTGGCTTTGGAGGCTGTCCTGGAACTAGCTCTTGTAGACCAGGCTGGTCTCGAACTCACAGAGATCCACCTGCCTCTGCCTCCCAAGTGCTGGGACTAAAGGCGTGCGCCACCAACGCCTGGCTTGCTTTACATTTTCACGTGGCTTTTGGACCACAAGACTTTGTAATTTTCTTCCCAGAGAAGATTCAAGGATAATTCAAGGGCAGGGAAAAAAAAAAAAAAAAAAGACCACACAAGAACAGATTCAAATTGAAGAAGAAAGCCCAAGGGGATTAGGTTCCACTCAAACAGCTTGTTCTCTCCCCGTCAAATGCAAACTACAAACCACCAGACAAAATACAGCAGCATAGACTCAGGTTGTACCTCCAGGCGCTTCCCAGAGGCTGCTTCATACCCAGCAGCACTCTTGCACTGTGTGCTTACAACTTTAGTGTGTTTACTGTGCCCGCACAGGAGCTTTGCAGGGTGGAATGCTGAGAGCCAGCCAGGCAGGGTAGGAGTGCCAGGAGCAGGGATGCAGTGACACTGTGAACTTTAGCACTTGGAAGGCTCCTGGGGTAGAATTCAGTGTTTTTTTCTCTCTCTTTCTGTCTATCTCCCCCTTTCCCCATCCTCCCTTCCCACTCCTTGTCTATTTTGCCCCTCCCCATCTCTCTCAAAGCTCCTTCACCCTCACCCTGGTTCTAACTCTGAGTAACCTGATTTCTGAGGTCTTGCTGGCAGCTCCTGGAAGAACTGTTTCAAACCATGCTCTTCTGGAATGCTGACTGTTCCCATGATGCATTTCTCTGGCAGACACGGTGAAACTGTGCATGGGTGGTTTGTTTGCGGTCACAAGGCATTGGCTCTTCTTTTCTCCATCTGACTTTAAGTCTTTGTTTGGGATAATTATGCACGAGGGACACACAGGGAGTGAGCTAGAAGGGAGTGGAAGGAATAATTGAAAGGGCACAAACATACCTCTTTCCCCCCTTTTCCTCTGTGAGGTCCTTTTCACTGTTACAGCTTTGGAAGATTTCGAAATCTGGCTCAAAGTTGAGCTTCCTCCAAGGCACACTGGTTTAAAACAAACAAACAAACAAACAAAAACAGGGTCAGAGTCAAGAAGGCGGTTTTCCGCATACTTTGGTATTGGTGATTGATTGACTGCCATCATTTTATGGACTTTGCTCAAAGGTATTTCTCTTGGAAGAGAATTAGCTGAACACCGCCAGAATGGTTCCAGTTCTGTCTTCTGTAGTTCCCTGCTGTAAGGCTAGAGGCTAACGTGCAGCTCAGCAGAGCCAAGTAGGGCTCCCAGAGTCATCCTGCGGTGCAGGTGACTCCCTCATGCCACAGCTGCTTTCTATAACCGAGTATGCTCCACCTTCCTGGGATTATCATGAACAGTTAGGGTTGGTTGGCTTGCATTAAGAACTGTATAGGAGCAGGGCAGTGGTGGAGCATGCCTTTAAAGCCTGCACCTGGGAGGCAGAGGCAGGCAAATCGCTGAGTTTCAAGGCCAGCCTGGTCTACAGAGTGAGTTCCAGGACAAACAGGACTACACAGAGAAACCCTGCCTTGAAAAACAAAACAAAACACCCCAAAACAAAAACAACAACAACAACAACAACAACAAAACCAAAACCAAAACCAACACCCCCCCCCCCCCCCCCCCCCCGTGTTGGTATGGTGTCAGTGTTGAGGCTATGGATGCAGCTCAGTCTTCAGAGTGCTTGCCTAGCATGCTTGAGACCCAGGTTTGCCGCACCACCCACACACACACACACACACACACACACACACACACACACACACACACACACACACAGAGTACTACTCTAGAGCCGTGATAGCTCCTTCTTCCTTAGTCCCTGCACCCCACATGCAATTGGAATGGTGCAATGTAGAATCTGACATTCCTGCTACCTCCCTACTCTAACCCTAGCCTCACTTAGCAAGGTGGCTCTTGCTTAGGACAGCGGGTCCCAAGCATGTCTCCTCCTCCCTGGGCCTGTGTGCCACACAGATGGAGGACTCTTCGTTCTACTCATCCCTGTTTGTTCTGAGCTCCAGGTTCCATCACCTTCTGCCCTGTGGTGTGTGCAGGGCCTGATGATCCTGGCACAAAGTCCCAAGGTTTAGGTGTTCCCTCGGCCTTCTTCATTGAGCCCCTTTCTTCCAGGGAGTAAGGCAGAGAATGACAGAGGGAGAGAGCTGGATGTCCTGCTCCAGCCACTGCATGATCAGACACAAGCATGTATAAATACACACTCACAGACATACAACATGTATGGAGGCGGAAGTCGGCATTAGCTATCTTTCTCCATCACTCCACACTACTTTTTGAGATATGGTTTCTAACTGAACACCATGTCTTATAGTTCCAGCTAGACTGACTACTGGCCAGAAAGCCCCTGGGATCCAAATAGCCTCCGCTTCTACAACTATGGGGCTATAGCATACACTATCATGCCTGGCTTCTTCATGAGTGCTAAGGATCCAAACTCAGGTCCTTATACTTGCTTGCACAAGTACTTCACCAACTGTCTCTTCCTATCAAAATATAGAATGTATATATTTATTTCAGTATTTCATCTTTTAAACACTGACACCATCTAGATGCATGCATACCTATGCACAAGCATACAGTGTTCTCAGACTCTCCATCAAGGGCAGAGTGCTTTGTTTTCTTTCTTTCTTTTTAAAGATTTATTTAATATAAATATAAATATATACATATATATATAAGCTAAAAAAATAAAAATAAAAAAAATTGTAATCAAAAGACTCAAGGGCAAAAAAAAGATTTAATAAAGAAAAATGCTATTCCCAGAATAAAAAAAAAAGATTTACTTATTATGTATACAACATTCTGCCCCCACATATGCCTGCACACCAGAAGAGGGCACCAGATCTCCTTATAGATGGGTGTGAGCCACCATGTGGTTGCTGGGAATTGAACTCAGCACCTCTTGAAGAGCAATCAGTGCTCTCTTAACCTCTAAGCCATCTCTCCAGGCCAGTGCTTTGTTTTCTTTACATTTACTTATTTATTATTCATTTAGGGAGGGAGGTAGTGTGTGTGTCTATGTGTAGGCATGCATGTGGTAAAGTCAGAGGACAACTTTGAGAGTTGGTTGTCTCCTTCCAGCACGTGGGTCCTGGGGATTACACTGGGTCACCAGGCTTGGGAACAAGTGGTTTTTCCTGAGAACGCTCTGTTCTGTGAATGAATGTATTCCAAGCATCCAGAAGTGCTGGGGACACATTGGGGCGTGCACATGCACATACATGAACACAATGAAGAAAGGAAGGTGAATAGTTTTTAAGATCATGGGGGGCTGGAGAGATGGCTCAGAGGTTAAGAGCACTGGCTGCTCCTCCAAAGGACCCAGTTCAATTCCCAGCACCCAAATGGCAGCTCACCCTGTCTGTAACGCCAGATACAGGGGCTCCAACACCCTCACATAGACACACATGCAGGCAAAACACCAATGCAATAAAATAAATATAAATCATTTTTAAAAAGAGTTGTATTATAGTTCTAGCTGAGAAGTGGTGGCACACATCTTTAATCCCAGCCCTCAGTAAGCAGAGGCAGGCCGATCTCTGTGAGTTCAAGGCCAGCCTGGTCTACATAGTGAGTTCCAGTACAGTCAGCATTACACAGAGAGCCCCTGTCTTGAATCACTCCCCCCCCCAAGGAAAAAATTATGTTTGCATGCTGTAACAACTAAGAGAATAAACTTGCCCCTGTGCCTGAGCCTGACAGGAAGACATTGTTATGGGGTATGTAGGGAGGCTGGGAGAGGCTCACAGAAAAGCAGACTAAGTGTTCAGGCCTCACAAAGAAATCTCTACATATTTTTTGCTGGGCTGGGGAGCATTTGATTAGCATGTGCCCAGCCCTGGGTTCCAGGCTCAGCACACATGGATGCATAGACAAACACGCACATTCACTCATAACTGCCTATATGAGTACTGAAAGCTTACTACACTGTAAGGCACACTCTATTTATTTATTTATTGTTGTTGTTTTTCCAAGACAGGGTTTCTCTGTGTAGTTCTGGCTGTCCTGGACATAGCTTTGTAGACCAGACTGGTCTCAAACTCACAGAGATCCACCTGCCTCTGCCTCCTAAGCAGTGAGATTAAAGGTGTGTGCCACCACTGCCCTGCAAAGCTATTTTTTAAAATCACATTTTACTTATGTATTTAATGTATGTGTGCGCATTATTGCGGGTGAATGCATGCATGCATGTGCGTGTATGTGTGTGCTGTATAGATCAGAGTACAGACAGCTTTCCACCATGTTCCAGGCTCTGCCGAGCCACGTTGCTGGCCCCTAAAACTTTTAATATTAAATTGCAATTTCCCCCTAAGAGAAACTATCTAAGACAGTTTCCATTGTCACATCTTCTTCTTCCTGCCTGCCTCTTAAAAAGGTCATTGTGATTATACTTGACCCCCCAGGCTAGTCCAGGAGAACATCTCCACCTCAGGCTCCTGACCTGACATCTGTCATGTGGATATATTCACAGTTTCTGAAGGTCAGGACAGAGACACCTGGGGGGGGGTTATTATTCTGCCTCCCACACACTCCAGAAGGTCTCCAGTGAGCACCAAGAAGGCCACCTGCTTACAAAGCAGAGTCCTCCTTCCCTAAAAGGGATGTCCAGTTCTCACCTTGGGGAAGCAGAGGGGGATTCCCAGCGTGTGGTGATGTTGAGGTGGGCTGGTCCTTCCCCTGAATCTCTGCATATTCTGCTATGGGTCTGAGGAGGGCCAAAGTCCCAGAACACTGCAAATGATTTCCATCCACGTGCAGCTCACTGAGGAAGAGCGCACAAAGCATTGCTCGTTGGCTATCAGGCCCATTCAACTTTGAATTTAAGATCTTTATCTATCACAACAAAACTAGTCATAAATGACATAACACAACATAGTCAACGGATCATTATAGTAAACATGCACTATGCCCCGCCACAAAAAGCTGGCTATGCCAGTAGCACAAACCATGTCCTCGGTAGATACTCTTGGTTATTAAAGTTCACCAAAGATAAGTTCTTCTAAGAGTTAGAGAAAAAAGCTGGGGGAGGAGGGATGCATGCTGGGGAAATAATTTAGTAAGTGAAGTGCTTGCCAAGCAAGCATGAGGACCTATGTTCAGTCTCTAGAACCCATATAAAAACACTGAGCATTCGGCTGTGGGGATGGTTGAGTGGGTAAAGCACTTGCTATGAAACCAAGAGGACTTGAGTTCAAATCCCCAACACCCATGTAAAAGCCAGGCATACCCACAAACACTTGTGATCCCGGCATTGGGGGTAGAGACAGTTGGGTCCCTGGAACTTGACTGGTCAGTCTAGCTGAAATGGCAAGTGTCCTGTTCAGTGAGAGACCTTGTATCAAAAAATAGAGTAAAAGAGGAATACATTTGACATGCTCCTCTGACCTCCAAATGTGCGTGTGTACACATACACTATACAAACAATATAAAAGAGATACATTTCTAATGAAATTCAGAAAACAACAACAGTACAGGGCATGTGGTGAGCATGTGATCCCATAGTTGGAAGGGGGGGCATCCCTGGAGCTCTTTGCCATTCAGTCTATTTGGTGGGCTTCAAGCCAGTGAGAGACCTGATTCAAGAACAAGGTGACAACACTTGAGGAATGACAGCTGAAGAAATTGTCCTCTGGCCTCCACATGCATTCATGCTCACCTACATGAATATACACACTCACCAGAGAGAGAGAGAGAGAGAGAGAGAGAGAGAGTGACAGAAGGGAGGAAGGGAGGGAGGGAAAAAAGCACACCAACCACCAGGATGCATTGTGTATCAAAACAGAGACAGGGTGAGCAAGGACATGGGGAAGCTCACCAAATGGCACTCTGGCTGATGACAGAGCCCAGCTTCGGCCCACTCTGAGGCCCCAGGCCACAGTAGCGCAGACTGAGGCCTTGGAGCCTTTGGTTGTTCTCTAGGCCTGAGAGGATGCTCTCAAGTTCTTCATTTCCAAACCTGAAAATAAATGACAGAACAAACCGCGTCCCTTTTAAACTATAGCACAAGCCAAGGGAAACCCTGTAGCTGGTCACAGCAGGGAAATAAACCATGAACAGGTATGAATGAAAACTGTGTTTAGAGCCAGGTAGTGTTGGTGCATGCCTTTACTTCCAGCACTTGGGAGGCAGAGAAGGGGGATCTCTGTGAGTTGGAGGTCAGCCTGGTCTACAGAATGAGTTCTAGCATAGCCAGGGCTACACAGAGAAACCCTGTCTCAAAGGGAAAAAAAAAAGGAAAGAAAACTCAGTTCAGATTGACTTCGTTAACCTGGATCAAGATTTTGGGGAGTCTGATGCTAGGCAGTTTATTCCCAGAACATTTAAACACAGTATAATTTGGAAAAAAGTTTCCTGATGCAATACAATTCCCGGTGCATGAGGAAGTGTAATTACATCGAAACTCAACTCAGGATACATGTCATCTCTTCCAAGAAGATGGGTTCTAGAAATAGGCTACCTGTACTAGTTTAAGGGCCTAAAGAATGGTCTGGTCAGGTCTTGGGCATACAGTAGCATAGAGGTCATTTGGGCTATTAGCCACCTCTGGTCCAGGTGTGGGAGCCTCTGGCTATACAGATAACGTAAGGGTCATATAGACTAGTAGGTATCTCTGGTCCTAGTGTGGGAGCTTGGGGAGTCCTCGGCCATAAAGGTCATTTAGAGTACTAGCCACCTCTAGTCCTGGTTGTAGGAACTTGATATGACTGGCCCAACAGATAACGTGCATCACCAGACTATTAATCACGTCCAATCCCCAGCTTTTGGGATGGAAGAACAGGTTTTCCATCTTCCCCACTGGAAGACAATGCTGTCAGTTTAACATCCCTGATTTCTCTGGAGAGCTGTGGCTCAGGTACCTCTGTGCTGTGCTCCCAACACCAGGCCACGTGGCTGACTTCAAAGACTTCCCCAGGCCAGCTAGAAGTGTTTCTACTGATCCTAGTTTGAGTTTCTAGGGCCAGGACTGGCTGAGGGATAGTGCAGGGTTGACCTGATAGAAGGGTTGACCTAAGGAGGGAAAGGGACAGGAAGTCAGATTCCTGAGCAAAGGATGGTTGATTTGAAGCATCCTTTCAAGAGGAAACATGAAGAACAGGCTCCAAATGCTGAGGTAGAACCGAGATAGGCATGGCAATTCAAACATGATGACGCATGTGGTGGGCAGAGTCTAGGAAGCCCCAGCAGCAGTAGGGAAGGAAGTCCAGCCTTTTATCCCTTCTGTTGCACAATATTTAGCTGGCAAAGTGACTCACAAGTATTCCACAGCCGCTGGATAGGACTGGTGACACATGGTCAGGGAACTGAAGGTCAGGGAGCTAACGTAGTATCTGCAAGGAATCTGGAATGTCAAGGTTTGAACTTTAAGATGTTAGAAATGGGTTGACAGTGATGTTATTGTTTTGAGACCGAGTCTTGCTATTTAGTCAGGCTGGATTTGAACTAGAGGAGATCTTCCTGTTTCTGCCTTCCATGTGCCACGTCCCACTGGCTTAGAACTAACTCAAATTTTTTATTAAATCATTGACAAGTAAATGTTAGGCTGGGGCTGGAGCTGGGTCTGGAACTAAGAGTTATGCTGGCTAGTTTTTGTTTGGGTTTTTGGTTTTCTGGTATAATGAGTTGGTTGGTTTGCTTGTTTGTTATTTTGGATTTTTGTTTTTTGTTTTTGTTTTGCCAACATAACACAAACTAGGGTCATCTGGGAAGAGGGAATGCCAACTGAAAAAATGCCTCCATCAGATTGGCCTATAGGCAAGTCTATGGGGGCATTTTCTTGACTAAGGTTGATTTGGGAGGGTCTATCCCACTGTAGGTGGTAATATCCCAGGGCAGGTGGTTCTAGGTTGTATAAAAAGCAAGCTGAGCTGGGAGGGATGGTGTGTTCCTTTCATCTCAGCACACTCAGGAGGCAGAGGCACACTCAGGATCTCTGAGTTTTGGGGAAGTCTGGTTTACTTACCAAGTTCTATGTCAGCCAAGGCTATATATACAAAGAGTCCCTGTCCCAAACAACAACAACAACAATGAGAAGCAAGCCGAGCAAGCCAGGAGAGCACGTCAGTGGGCAGCATCCCTTCAGTTCCTGAGTTCAGGTTCCAGCCAAGTCCCTGACCTGACTTCCCTCAGTGACAGACTTTTGCTTTTAGTTTTTATCACAGAATTAAAAAGCAAACCAGGACAACTGTTAACTCTATAATCCCATCCATCATTTATAGAGTAGAGGAAGGAGGAATTGGAAGTTCAAGACCAGTGTGGGCTACACTGTGAGACACTGTCTCAAAAATCAAAGCAAACAAGAAAACTAAGTGATTAGTGAGTGTTGACACCTGAGGTAGGCATGGGACAAAGTAATGACAAGAAGGATCTTGCCTGGGGCATCCACAGCCCACAGAGAAGAATCTAGTTCTTAAAGGGGACTGTGTCTCTGCAGGTCCACTCTTGCATAAATCATGTCTCACCTCTGAGTACAAGCCCCCCAAAACTTGACTGAATACAGAGTCCTAGACTCATTCCATCCAAGTCAAGGTCATCTCATTACAGATCAGAAAGGTTCCCTAACTTCCTCCCATTCATATAAGCAATCTGTAATTGCCTGTGGACCTGAGTAACTGAGAGACCCCAGGACATCTAGCATCAGGGAGCTGATTCGACAGTCAGGGCTCACATACAGACTCCACCCTGAGCGTTGAGTGCCCTTCAATGCTCTTCCCTTATGGTCAGTAGTGCAGGCATGGGGACCTGTCTCATGAGGCTACAGGAGAATAAATAAATGAGTGCAACCTAGTGGTGTGCTTTGCATATAGTAAGGGCTTGAAGACTGCTGGTAGAGTAGCTGAGACCACTCAGCAGGGGAATGTGCTTGCCAGAAAGCCAGATGATCTGAGTTCCACCTCACCCTTAGGAAAGTGGAAGGAGAATGCTGAGCTCCACATGTGTGTTGTGGTGCACACACACACACACACACACACACACACACACACACACACGTGAAGGAGGAGAAGGAGGAGGAGGAAGAGGAGGAGAGAGAGAGAGAGAGAGAGAGAGAGAGAGAGAGAGAGAGAGAGAGAGAGAGAGAGAAACTTTTTGCTGGTGTTATTATTCTCACTCAGACTGTCCCCTGGTCTGTCAAGCCCCAGTTCTCAGAAACAGTTGCTTTGTTTCTTCCTTGTGGCTCAGTGAAGACTGGCCTGTCACCCAAGGAGCCATGCTTTCCATTGTTTGGACATGGGACATGTATGGGGCATCTTCTGCGGCATTCAGACTTTCTACCTTGCACTATGTATAATGAAGAGCCTGTCTGCTCTACCACTCTGAAGACTCCTTTGGGTACCAGCATTACCTTGTTTGTATCCTTCCTTCCTTCCTTCCTTTCTTTCTTTCTTTCTTTCTTTCTTTCTTTCTTTCTTTCTTTCTTTCTTCTTTCTTCTCCTCCTCCCCCTCCTTATCCTCCTCCTCCCCCTCATTTATTCTTCTCATATATTACATCCTGACTGTAGTTTGCCCCCCTCTCTCTCCTCCTAGTCCTTCCACCCACCACATCCCTTCTACCCCAGATCTACTCCTCCTCCTTTCTCTTCAGAAAAGGGCAGGCCTCCGAGGGACAGCAACCAAACATGGCATATCAAGTTATAATAAAACTGGGACCTTACCCTCGTATTAAGGCCGGATGAGGCAATCCAATAGGAGGAGAAGGGTCCCCAAAGCAGGCAAGAGTCAAAGGCAGTCCCCACTTCCACTGTTAGTAGTACTACAGGAAACCCAAGCTACACAACCATAACAAATGCAGAGAACGGAGGTCAGACCCATACAAGCTTCCTAATCATAGGTTCAGTCTCTGGGAGCCCCTATGGGCTCTGGTTAGTTGATTCTGTGGGCTATGTTGGTATCTTCCTTTTTATATCTTTTTTTGGGATCTGTCTTAGGGTTTCTTCTATTGCTATGATAAAATACCATGACCAAAGAAAGCAACTTGGGAAGAAAAGGACTCATTTAATCTTAACAGCCTGTAGTCCATCATCCAGGGCAGTTAGGGTAGGAACTAATCCAGAGGCTATGGAGGAACACTGCTTCCTGGTTAGTTCCTCATGGCTTGCTCAACCCGATTTCTTAAACACCCATGACCACTTGCCCAGGGGTGGCATCATGCATGATGGGCTGGGCCTTCTCCAGTCAGTCATTGACCAAGAAAGAGCCCTATAGACTTGCCTACAGGCCAGGTCCCAGGAGGCATTTTCTCAGTTCAGGTTCTTTCTTCCCAACTGATCCTATCTTGTGCCAAGTTGGCAAAATGTAGATTTTTATTTATATCTTCTTTAGCACCCAGTACTGTAATGCATAAACTCACCTTCAGCAAACATTTGTTGAAAGAACAGATGGGAACACTAACATTTACTTGGGCACGGGAGGAGGGCTTGAGGGCTCTCTTTCTTGTCTCACTGAGGCCCAAGAACCTGGTCCTCCCATCCCCCTCCTTCCTTCAGCTATCACCGTCGAGGGCCCAGCCTGCCAGAGCTCCACTTTCAGCCTTACTTGCAGTAATCAAGGACGAGGAAATGTAAACTGCTGAACTGCAAAGCTTTCCCGAGTCTCCCCAGAGACCACAGATCCATTTTGCAGTTAATGATATCCAAGGTGGTAAGTGGGCAAATGGTGTGCCCCTTTGACTCCAGAAATAAAGCCTAGAAGATTAAAAAATACTTCCATCAGGACAACTAATGTGCTCTGTTTTCATATATTCCCAAGTCAAGCCTATCAATGACCTCAACATTTTTGCCTCCAAGATGTTTTTTTTTTTTTTTTTTCTACATCTTGTAGCACGAAATGTAGCATGAAATAAAAGAGGTTTCCCAGGTGTTGGTGGCACACGCCTTTAATTCCAGCACTTAGGAGGCAGAGGCAGGTGGATCTCTGTGAGTTCGAGGCCAGCCTGGTCTCTAGAGCAAGTGCCAGGATAGGCTCCAAAGCTACACAGAGAAACCCTGTCTCGAAAAACCAAAAAAAAAAAAAAAAAAAAAAAAAAAATAAAATAAAGAGGTTTTTGTTTGTTTGTTTGTTTGTTTGTTTGCTTGTTTGTTTGTTTTTCATGACAGGCTTTCTCTGTGCAGCTTTGGAGCCTGTCCTGGAACTGGAACTCACTCTGTAGACCAGGCTGGCCTCCAACTCACAGAGATCCGCCTGCCTCTACCTCCCAAGTATTGGGATTACTCCTGGTGGGGGTTTTCCTTTTTAAAACAAAGATTCATTGAAGAGTCCTATGAGAAACATGAGGTCCTGTGATGAGATACACTGCAAGTGTTATGGGCTAATAGTATTTGAACAATACTTCCTCACTCATATACTGAGGAACTAACCCAGGCATCTCAGAAGGCTGTATCACCGAGTCAAGGCACCTGTTATGGTGAGATCTTGGGATGAACCCTAACTTGATTCCACTAGTGTCCTCACAAGAAGAGGACCCTGTGATGACAGAGGAAGAAATCCTTGCTGACACCCTTGCTTCAGCCTCCAGAAGTAGCGGTTGCTTCAGCCACACAGCCTGTGATGCTGACAGCCATCTTAAATGATTGACTACTGTCTTGTGGCGGAGGGATGCGTGCCTGCTGTGGCATGGATGTGGAGGCCAGAAAAATGACGCTGTGGAGTGATTCTCTTTCTTAATTTTTGCATAGAATCTGGGGCTAGAACTCGGGCTTGCTTATCAAGTGTCTTTACCCCACTGAGCCATCTTGCCAGGCCTGGATAAGTCAAAAGTTTTTGTTTTTTGTTTTTTTTTTTTTTTAATTTATTAGTGGGTGTGTTGGAGTTGGTTCTTTTCTCCCTTCTTTCTGTAGGTTCTGGGTAATAGGTTTCCTGTACCCCGATAAAAGTTTTCTCCACCACTGCAGTAAGCCAGATCAAGCCGAATTAAAAAGGAAAAGACGAAAGCAAAGCACCTCCTGGGTGACACTCAGAGATCGAGGTGGAGGAAGGGGTTGAGCTAAAGGAGAGAGCTTAAATACCGTGTAGGTGTTGATTCTCTGAGGTTGGGTTTGGAGAGAGAAATGGGGCTTCTTGGATCGAACTTCCAACCGAACACTAGGGAGTGAGCTCAGGTCATTAAGCCTAAGCAGCAAGTGCTTCCCGTGCTGAGCCATCTCACTGGCCCTGAGACGCTGATTTCTTAATGAGGAAATGTAGCCTCGTGTGTCTGCGCTCTTTTCAGTAGAGAGGTGTGGTGTGTGACCCCTTTGGCACGAGATAAAAACCATTAGAACTTCGTTGTCGTTCCTAGGCCTAGACATTCTCACTTCCAAGGTCTGCTCAGAAGTGAACGGTGCAAACCGGTAGCTGCTATGGAAGCTGCCGCTGAACTGGGCTGTACCCGAGCATCTACAGTCCCCGCAGCAGCGGCTCCAGAGTGGAGAGGGCCACAGACAGGTCATTTTTGTGGTAACCAAGGATACCAGTGATGGTTAAATCCCTGCTTGAAAGGGAAGAGCATTTAAAACTTTAAATTGTGGGCTGGCACGAGGCCACCTTTGGGCAATTACAACCGGCTTGGAACAGAAGCCTTGAAGGGGCTTGGGTAGATTGGAAGGCTAAGGGCCTTTTAAGGTAATGACATGTTGGTCAGAGCTAGGATTTCAAATTATCCCATGGCTGAGATTGAAAAGTTGAGCCAAGGCCACAGGGCGGGTACTGCTCTGCATGATGAGAAGAATGGGAGGAGCTTCTGTGAGGCTAGTGTGTCCCTGTCCCGCCCCCCCTGGACAC